TTCGTGTTACTTGGCACTCGTCAGCAAGGTGTACCTGTAATCTTGAAGGAACTGGTGCTCCCTGGCGGATTCGATCTCGTGTCACCCAGCTTCACAGTCAGAAACGTTACCACTGAGCTATAAGAGCCGCGACCGACCTCCTGTAGGACTGAGATGTAATCACAATTGATTGATCACTGGGTGGCGATCAATGTCATGCGTGTTTAGTCCTTATTAGTGCAGATCGAATGCTTTCTATCATGTTGCAATGTGGCCACCAGTTAGCTCTTCCTCTTCAAATGATCTCATATGGCCCTATACGTATACAACCACTGTCAGGGAAGTCCTACACATTGACTTGTAGAGGTTGGAGTGTTGTTTCCGAAATTAAGAGAAGGACGAGGAAAAGTGAATGTCCGATGCTTTGACCGGGTTGGTGGATATAGAGGATCCATCTAGGGCAGTTAGAAAACCTTGATTCTTAACTGGTAGTGTACATGGTTTTTGTAGAGGCTAATTTCCCCTGTATGTGACTCTAATTGCTAGTATCCCGTTAACTGAGGTATTTAATGCAGGTTAAATCTCTTAGTAGAATTATGGATTTACTCGAGATTTATTCAAAATTTAAAACAATTAGTCCCGTTTGATAAATTTCGATCATGCAATGAGAAGACAAAGTTTATGAGAATTATGTGATGATAGATTTGTTCAATGCATTTTGAACAATTTGATCACATATAATGTACTTGTTAAAAACATTTATATATCAAAATTATAAGGTCATCTAGACAGGTTAAAGGTAAGCCGTGACAAAGACAAAATGATAATAAAGTACATAAAAACAATGTGATAACCAATCTCGGTGATAAATTCGTGCTACCTAGATAGGTTAAGGGTAAGGACAAACTATTCTTGAACACATAAAGGAGGTTTCAATTTCCGTATAGCCAAGGCTTCAATAAACCTTAGTATACGTCCTTGAAAGCTTTTGTATAACACTACAAATGCTGATTTGATGTCAACCTTATGACTCGTCTCAATCAAATGTTTCACAATGGAGGATGATGTCTGTCTATCCTGTGATCTTATTTAACCATTGATATCCATTTGTTTCTGCAACCATTTTGGTATGTGTTCACCCACCCTTAATTGTAAATCACGATTGCTCCTCCCTATGTATGTGTTCCCACATATACACGTAAATTGATAGACGCAATGGGATGTGACACAATCGCTTTCATGCTGTTTGATGAAACATAGACCTTATCTTTTCGATAATGACAAGTTGGGCTGCATAAAATGTCCAGTTGATAGCTAATTTATATTTCCGTTTCAACTTGAGACTATTTGTGTCGCCTCTGAATGGTAACGTAATATAAACTCGCTTTTTGGGTGCCAGAAGCGTCATAGGTCTCATCGTATTGCAACCCTTCCAGCAGTTTATGGATTCCGAAGAATAACTATTATTCATTAACGTATCAGTCAAGAGCTTCATCTCTACTTCATTAGTATCACTAGTACAAATACGATTGATTCTATTGAATAAGCTCTTTATTAAACCGCGTTTGTAATGAATAGGGCAGGGACTATGAAAATTAAGATATTGCCCTGTCCATGTTGGCTTTCTATATATAACACGTTGGATGGAACCATCATCTCTCCTACTAATCAGAATGTCTTCTCACAGTTTATTGTTAAAGATTGGTAAAATCCGCAAGCGTACACGAAGAAAGAACACAGGGAAACCAAGAGTGTGTATGTGTTAAAAATCCATATATATTTATGAGTGTTAATCAAGTATGGATAAATTATTGATTGTCTGTGTATTACAACCAATGGGAGAATAGATTGGAAACTGACATGTGCTCAATCAGACTCACACAGAAAATTACATGGTGGATCAAGTGTTCAAATTACAGTGAGCAGATAAATAATACAGTAGTGAAATGGGCTTACTACATGTTCCAGGATTCTGAGGGAACAAATAGCGTATGAATCTATTATTGGTGACCGGCTACCACGGGACTGCATCTCCTAACGTTGCTCCATTGTCTTGTGGATTAGATCTTTAGGTCAGAGGCTCTGGGTGTGGCCCCCCTAAGAAAAATACCTGCTTCGGTTCGGTCACCCGGGCAATATCGCAGCCTTCACACAAATCGAACGATTTATGTGGCGCATATGTATTTGGTGTCCCTTTGTACCAGTATTTATGCGTTTAAATAAATAAAGATTGCAACATTTGATTTCGTGTCAAATTCTCATATTTTAACTGCGTAAATAATAAGATTTACTTAGGTCTTACAATTTCCTTATAATGAACATTGGTTGTCGATTTAGCAACTCTCCTAAACAGTTAGCTTAATATATTCAGTCAACGGATGTTTCAAACATTGCTAGTCGACTTTTTCAACTAGTAAGCGCTTATAAATATTCCCGAATGAAACTATGCTACGGGTAACTTTGTATGAGCATGAAGTTGTCTATGCACTCAGTTTATCAGGTTGAGTTATACAATATTGATGAGTAATGGACACTATGTGATAGTGACACTGAAGTCTTGTTGTACAATCAAATATTCTGGCATCTAAATCCAATATAGTTAATATGTTATTAGGACTCAGCTTACTAAAATCCGGATTTTATGATTTCAATGACTGTGTGATCGATTAACGATGAGAAACTTGATTTCTGACCACTGGTTACAGATCCCAACTCTATTCCATACATATATCATCAAAGGCGATTGTTACATTTGTCACGTATTCTTAACCAACGCATATCAATAACACCTATTCCGGCTCACATAGGAATACGTTAGAAAATAGCTAAGGACGAAGAGATTAAGAAATATCGATTAGTATAGACTTTTTGGTTTGAATCAACGAAATACTTATAGTTCATTTTTGTAGATATTGGATGATATGATGTAAAATCGATTGCAATAGCATCTTTCTGTCGAACTGTACCCCTTCCAATGAAGTCCTCTTAAGTGATTCTTGTTTTATTAATTTCTTTTTCCGCTACACTGATATGAGTTATGAGAATCACGACAGATATAATGGCATGTGCACACCTACCAATGTGATTAAGATCAACGACAGTGAGACTATAATGTATGGACGAGCCAATTAAAAGCGTTTGAGGGGTTCCAGCGCCAATTTCGGTACCTGATGCTATCGTACGATCGGTTCACAACGGATTTTGTGGAAAACGTAATAAATTGGGCGCCTATAACAAATAAAACGGCGAGACTATAATTTATGGACAAACCAATCACGTATAACATAACAGATCTCGGATTTTGGCGCGAAAGTCAATCATCCATTTGACTAAATAGAGTTTTGGCATTATAGCTGATGTCACTTTGTGATGAAAACCATAATGACAATTATTGCGAACTGGACAATAAAAGCACCAGTGACACTGGCTACAGCCGGGTACTACAATATATACGGATGATTGGAGAGTGTATATATGCCAAAATAAACTTGATTATGTGCATTATTTCTTTATTCACAAGCGGCATTTTGTGGACTCAACAACCGAAGTGCACACATACAATATTGAAGCTATATGGTCGAGGCTGAAAGAGATTTTGCGATCTTATCACGGCTCCAAAGGCCGACCATTCTGTAGCCTTATTGATGATTTCCTCTACCGCATGCATTACGATTTTAGGACCTCTTTCTAAATTTGACAAGTTTTTGAACCTTGTATAAGCAGTGTATCCACTTTATTTCTTTGGTTTTGTATAATATACTTTAACTCTATACTGACTGTTCGTTGAATGGCTAATATTTCTTAAAGTCATTTAAGATTCCTTCAAATTTCACCCTAACAATAATTCCATAGACTGATGTCATATCTTGGGCTTTTCCCACCTTTTTTCTTCTAACAAAGCTCTACTTTTATTTATTTATTTAAACACATAAACGTTGGTACAAGAAGGCACCAAATAGATATGTGAAACATAAATCATTCGATTTATGTGAGGGCTGTGATACTGTCCGGGTGCGCAGCCCGAAGAAAGTGGTTCCCTTAGGGGGACACACCTGGAGACTTCAACCTAAATTTCTGATTCACAAGGTAGTGGAGCAACGTAAGGAGATGCAGTCCCATGGTAGCCGGTAACCAACGATTGGTTCATACACCATTTGTTCCTTCAAGATACTGTAGCTAATGTGCACGATTGGTTTGGAGTCAGGGTTAACCAACCCCCCTAGGTGGACTCTCCATGTCCACCAATCAGGTTAAAGCGCCGGACATTCGCTTTTTGTCCTCTCAATTTTGTAAACAATACCCCCGCCACGAGAAGGCGATGAGTAGGACTTCCCTGGCAGAGGCTATATACGCGTGGCCATATGAGAGCATTTCGAGAGGGAGAGTGGACTCTCTCCACTCTCGGCCGTACCAAGGCATTTGGGGGCAACAAAGTTCTACTCCAATCAACATTATACATCAAAAGTAAACGATAGTTTAGTAATTGAATTATCATTACTACAAATCCTTATTGCTTAATTTAAATGGGTAAATTAATCTTTTTCTGAGGAAAAACAAAACACTGTGAAATGATTTTCTCGCTTTCATATGAATTGAGTTCAAAAATTTGGTACAATGAAGGGAAAAAGGGAAAACAGAAAAAAACAAGATAAACTGTAAAATAAACAACTAATCGAGAAGGGGGAGGGCGCACAAATGTCACAATAAATGACAACATATATGTATATATACCATGTATATTATTCGAAAATAATTAAAATGAAAACAAAAGTAAGAAAAAGAGAGGGATATAAAAAGAATTTCTATTTTCAAAAAAAAAGAAATTACAAATAAATAAAAGAGAATAAAGTAAACATGTAACGAAGGTAATTGATTGTTCACATGCATGCACGCGCACCCACACACACATACACATGGTTACACATAGAGACTGTACACACACACACACAGGAGGGGTGGGGGAAGATTGTGCAATGTATAAAAAAGAAAAAAAAAGTTAATTGACACAAACAAGAAAAGAGATAACGTTGAACATAAATTAATGAATGAACAAAAGACAATATGAACTTGTAAATAAGAGAACATATAGAATAGTTCTTTTTATAGAGTTGCAAAATAATTACATTCTATTATTATTATTCCATTTGTTGACCAGTATATATATATATAACCAATAAAGGAAATGGACAGTTTACAAGATGAAAGAGAAAAGAACTAATCAAACAAGTACATTATTATTGTTATTATCAGGTAGTAATTATGATATACATCATTTCATGTATACATGAACTACTACGACTATTACTATTCCACAACGATCAGAACAAACATAGAATGTAATGTTCATATATATATTGTTATTACCATTTCTTTTTATAATCATCTACACTAACACCACCTGGTCCATATGCAACAACTAAACCTAAACCACCAATAACTGACCATGTTTGAAAGAAATCATATTTTAAAAAATCCCACATTAAACTATCATTACTAACAGCCCAAAATCGATTATAATAAAAATTCATACCAGTTAACCAAATAACTAATACTGTTGCACAAAGTTTTGTTTTATAACCAATTGCCACCAATAGAATTAAGATTAAATTACTAATGGACTACAAATAAAATAGGAAAAAAAATAAGATAATTAAATTATAACTGTTTTACAGACTTCAACATATAAGAAATAATTTTAATAGTTAAGATCATGAGTTAACTGAATCTAGATCATCATGGAAAACCTGGAAACACTGGATGACTGTTTCGTCCTATTGTGGGACTACTCCACAGCAGTGCGTATCCACGATCCCGCCTCGCGAGATTCGAACACAGAACATATCGTTCTCCCCGACCGTTGCTGCTACTTTGACATGGTGGTCGGGCTTGCCTATCGTGATGAAGCAACCGAGCTATACTGGCTGGAACAATCGTTCCTCAAGGTCCTACCATGCCAGACAGGTCGGTTGAAGAGCGGTAAGACTAAAAGCAACGAACCCAAGGTCCGAAGGCGAAGTCGTACTGCTGACTGTACAGAGGTGTGACAGCAGTAAGGTGTTTCCTTCAGACAACCAGCATGACAGCGATGCTGCCTTCCCACAAGAAGGAGTGGGGTTATAAAAGGTCGACCATAAAAATGCACACCTCGCCTTATCTCACGGATATCTGTCTCCGGCGGTAAGATCTCAACAAGTACGGAGCTAACACAAAAATTACCCATAAAAAGGTCGTGTGTGACCGACCTCAGGCAGTTGTCCCTTGGGCACTGCTGTCACGCTCTCAGGTCTCCAAGACCACCTCTAACCCAATTTCCTTTTCAGGTACCTCCAGAAGAACCCTTCCACGGTGTGGGCAACCGGGAAGTGGTAACCGCCGCCCTCATACCTTCAACAGCACTCAAGACCACTGTATTCATATCGGTCTCGTGCGTGAACGCCTAACCTTTAAACCACTAAGTCGGCATCCAACGGTGTTAATGTCTAACTTCAACTAATCCATGAAATTGTGCAGCCGTTCACCATTGTCATCAGTGAGTTACTATCTCACAATAGACCCCGTTGAACTCTACTGGTCACGGCTTTTCACTAGAACTTCAGGATATATCTCTTGAAGCCAGTCACTAGTGAGCATAAGATGATTATAATCAGAGAGAGGGGTTTTGTGGATATTATAGTAATTTTAATAATTGAATTCATGAGTCAATTAAAGCTAAACCACCATAGGATACCTGGAAACACTGGATGGCTGTTTTGTCCTACTGTGGGACTGCTTAGCAGTACGCATCCACGACACCACCTGGCGATTCGAACCCAAGACCTATCAGGAGTCCCACATTAGGACGAAACGGCCGTCCAGTGCTTCCACGTTTTCCATAGTGGTTTAGCTTCAATGGAATCATGAATTCAACTATTAAGATTACTAGAATATCCACAAAACCCCTCTCTCTGATTATAATTGAAAATAATCCTTACCTATGTTTCACATGAAATTTACAAGTTAAGAACGAATCAGTTGTAAATGACTCTGATATGGAACAATATATCTAAATCAAAATAAATAAACCTCACTACTTATCGCTGTTATCGACTAACATAGGTATGAAGTCTTGTGAAGTACCGGATATGGAATATGACTGTAATAAACGTGACATATTCTTCTACTTCTTCAAAATTTTACATTTCAATCTAGTGCAATCATTTACGATAGCGTAGCCATATACTTGAAAAATGATAGTAATCTTAGTAAGAGTAAGGAAATGTAATTATCGTATACTGTAGAACAGGTAACTGAAACAGTTGATGTGAAGTATTCTAGGTTCTATCATCGAAAATCGAATGTGTAAATTATCTTACTGTAATTACGTTGTCATTCGCATATGCGCATACTGCGCGTATTGCCTCAATATTGCCTTAATTCACAAGCATTCTAAACAAAGATGGATAGTAGCTAGCAGTTGAATCCAGGACGTGCGTTTCGTCCTATTTGAGACTCGTCAGCTAAGTGTACCTGCTAAGTGGATAACGCGATGGTGTTTGAAACGAATGGTACTGAGTTCGAGTCCCAGAGTGAACATCAACTCTGAGATGCAGCTAAATCCATCTGACGAGTCCCGAATAGGACGAAACGCGTATCCTGGATTACACTGCTAACTACTATCCATCTTTGCTTAGAATAATCATCAACGTTGTATATTTTTTTAAGTTTAACTGAGTAATCAACTACAAATTCCGTATATGCCGCCTTCGACCTACACATGTTATGTAAGGTTTTATGATACTAAGCATTTGACCAAATTGAATTAAATGGAACGTAAACTGAATCTATGAATGAAATATTTTAACAGTTAAAATACTAATGGTTAAAGTAAACAATACTTACTTGTATAACATAGAATATACTACTACCTAAATGAATTAGTGTGACAAACATTAGAATAATAAGTATTCTACCACCAAGTAGAATATATTGTCGATGTGTATTTTCACCAGATGATGGTAGACCAGCTAATAGACTACGTGTTTCTTGTTGTACTTCAGCTAATAATAATAATAAACTACCAATAAGTGATAGATTACGCATAAAGAATACTTTTGTCCAGATGTTATAACCAATAGTCTACAATAAATAAATATAGATAAGACAATATTACATGTATAATTGAATAGTGAAATTTTTAACATTGAGTTTTTCTTAAAAAAACAAATCAGTTGTTTTTTAATTCACTTGTTTTACTTGTATCTTCCCATTGCTATAAAGCTTATGACTTAAGGATATATTGAGGCAATACGCACAGGATACACGTATACCGACATGAGAATGATCAATTGCAGTCCTAAATAACAATGGGAAGATACAAGCAAAACAACACCAAGTGAATTTAAATTCATCCCATTGCACAAGCAAGTGGCTATCAGGACTCAGTAGCTAAGCGGATCACGAGATGGCGTTAGAAGCGAACGGTACTGGATTCGATTCCCAAAGTGAACATCAACTCTGAGATGTAAGTAAATCCAGCTGACGAGTCCCAAATAGAATGAAACATGCGTCCTGGATTCCACTGCTAGCCACTATTCATCTTTGCTTACAAATCAGTTTTGTTAGGAGTTTTGTACAATCAGATTGATATCAAAAAGTTTGTGATGTTTGAAAACTATGAAATTGATTAAACTGTTAAAACTGATTATGAATGAAATAGTAACTGAGAAATAATTTTGGTATTGAAAGAACAATCCATCTAACTGATATCATATTCTCTTAAAGAATTTCATATATGACACTAATTGATAAGTGGTGCTCAAATACCAGGGTATTTGAGAGAGTAAAAAAAGTCCGATCTCCCTCTCTAAATCCGCTCACATGGCCGCGCGTATACAGCCACTATCATACAGGTCCTACTCACTGCATTCTAGTGACATTACTATTGTTTACGAAATTGAGAGGATGAAAAGAGAATGTTCGGTGCTTTAACCGGGTTGGTGGATATAAAGGATCCACATAGGGCAGTTGGAAAACCCTGATTCGAAACCAATGGTGTACATGGGCTCCAGGATCCTAAGGGAACAAATGGTGGGTGAACCTATTGTCGGTCACCCACTACCATGCGACTGAATTTCCTGACGTTGCTGTACTGCCTTGCAATTGTCCGAAATGCATAACAAAGTAACGAGTTCCTAATATTTCAATATCACAACGAAACCTAGCAATACTATCATATCTCGAGTATTGGGTAGCTTACTAACTCTATGGAAGGAATTAAACTAAAAAAAGAATATTAATATACACGCCAATGAACTCGAAATGCGACTCCGAATTTATTCTATATACACAATAAACATGACAGTGTGAACACTAACTTGTAATAATACAGTTGACATAAGAATTCCAACGCCAATTTTTACTCGATAACGACCCAAGACAAAAGCACTTCCAATAAACTGTAAGCAGATGTTCAATAAAATGAAAAAGGCTGCAAATATGACATGGGTTCCCCAAACAGATTGGATATAATCCACTTGGTCAGACCATTGAGTTAAAAGTCGAAAACCATCTTCAATAAATGTAGACACGAGACAGAATCTAGCTATATGAGGTAGATAACGTCGACTTTTTCGTACAAGCTGTAAAAATTACAGGACAAATACAGAGAAGTAAACAAACCATTTAAGCACAGAAACAATAAATGCTACAGTGTTAACAATCTTAAGAATCTTTTGTTTGCAGGTAAATATTACTGAATTATCATAGGGAAGTATGATGGTTTTAATGACAATGACGTTTAATGAATTAGCTAGTACTCCAGAAAAGTAGAAATATGATAAAATGGATCTTCTTTATGAATAAATGAAAACTATATGGTAATGGAAGGTTTGATGGAAGAGCACAGACGACTTAGTGTGGGATTGACAATAGGTAATAACGACCCATTAGTCTCACAAGTCAGTACGAAACCTCAACTCAAAATCAGACCTACGATCATACTACGTACAAAATTATATTAGGTCTAACTCTTGAGATTCATCCATATGCCACGAAGGAAAGGGCTCGACTAAATAGTATCTTCGACCCGTTATGGTTTCGTAAACCCACTTCAGAAACCAATTACTATACATATATCAGGCTATCAGACACCTGTTTTGTTACGGCTTACGTCCAAGCATATAGCTTCAGTTTGGACTTATGATCTGACACATGTTAATGAGGTGAGAGGAATACTGATGCTGAGGTAGCAGTTATAAAGATCAAACAAGAAACAAATGGTTCAAGATGGGACGAAAACGTACGTATGAAGAAATATAGGGACCGAATATTTAGATGGAAATGAATAGTGAGTTGGCCTATGAGACTGTAATCGATCCCGAACCATGTCGGTCAACGTGTAGTCAAAAGCGGTTATCGCACGGACCCTGACATGATAATCTGAACCTACTAATACGGCTCAGACCGACAGTCAATGACTTGATGGACTATAATTGCAAGTACTTAAGACCGCCCTTAGCTCTGCAGCTCACGCTTGCACCAGCAAGCACTGTTTATCAAGGTAGGTTTGCTGGAATACGTAGAATCCCAGCAGCCCCAATCGATGAAGACGCACAACATCAACTGACTTTCCATACTTACCTAGTACCCTATGGCTTATCTCAGAACCGTTCGCTAGGTTGTTTCATCAAAAGTAAGAAATGCTTCAAGAACATCATTGACTGAAAATCTGCAGATTACGTATGTTTTCTCTTTTCATAGACCATAGGGTATTAAAAAATGGATAGCTACATAATATACTTGTCTTTCAATGTGCAGACGGACATCTTTTCTATACCAGAGATGATGTAAGTCAGAAAAATTGACAGGACGTTTGGTGTCTGTGAAAAAGATTCGTTAGATACCATCCTACCAAGGGTGATAGAACTTCTAAGATAAGTGGGTTCGAGAACACGCTCAGCTATTTTGTTTCCTAAAACCAATTTGGTGATGGTGGAAACCAGTCACGAAGCCATTAGAGGAGAGAAACTGGACTGTTACTCGTGTTCAGAAGATTGTTTAATGTCAGCACTTTTACCAAAAAAGGTCTACTTTCACTCTAGTGGCTGATATTGAAATGAAACTAAATGGAATGTCTACGAAGTGAGCTAGATTACTAGATTGACAAAAAAATAATATTGCTCTTGCAGATTGACGTAAAGCCTTGCAATTTAGCTTAGACTACACTGTCGTCTTATAAGTGATCAACTTCAGAAAAAATCAGCCCTTTGACTAAAAACCGAGTCAAATATGAAAATATTGAAAATTGAGGATTTAGATCTGTAAATATAGTAATGAGACGACCGTAGGGGTTTAAAAAATGGTCATGAGCAGCTTTACGACGAACTTTATTCTGAGGTCCACTACGAACATAATTTAGAAGCTTATTATAGCTGACTTCAACTTTATTTTCAGTTATTTTACTTCTAAGTAGGAATATAGAAATGCTATTCAATAATTTGAAGACAACTCCTAACAACAGTAAAAACCCTTTTATGTGCTGGAAATAATTCGTATTTATATAGCCTGAGAATAACATGAGGATTTAATGGTGTGCCGTAGCAATCCTTATCTGTAAAAAATACGACAGTGTGGTAGCGAAGAAAGTCAAAAAGCATTACCCAATCTGCATGATCCTCAGTCTATCCAGCAGTTCTCTGTTGGTAGAGCCACGCTGCATTATGTCTACCATTATTGAGTAATCAGGCAACAGCTATGCAACGTAGAACAGTTGTGTTGAAAGCTCTCCTTAACGTGATAGTATAAAATACCTTAGATAAACAAATAGACACATTTCATTAACAAATAAAACGACTTGATGTTACATTTTCAGTGAAAAGCAAATAAGGTAATTAAGTCAAGTTATCTTCTGGGATAGTGAACTTATCATTTCCACGCACTAAGCTTAGTTCGAATAACAACCTAAGGGGTAACACCCAGAAACTGGAAACACAACATAGCAAGACGGAATGTAGACACAATTTCTACTCCTTAAGAGTTGTCAAAAGCTGAAATTCGCTGCCAACCGAGCTAGTTCAAGCGACTTCTCAGGAGTCCTTCAAGAGGCAACTTGACCTATTCTTAAGGACCAAGAACAGCATCACATTATGATTTACCAATCTCTTTTCCTCTTTTATTGTTAACATACCTAGGTTCCTGCCTGGAGGATTTGGTGATCCCCTGCTACTAGACACGGAAGCCTGTTAAGCGAAAGCTTCTTCTATTCCGTCCACAACCATTTGAACCATTTGAACCATTTATTAAACGGACTGTCCCTTAATATTGCCTGTAGTTTTGATTTACCGCCGTTAGTTCTCTATTTGGAAATATTCCATGCTCAGCATCTGGTGAGTAACAGGATCATACTCAAGAAACTTTGATAAATGGGTTATCCTATGTCGATAAGAAGGATGCTTATGTACCTAACTTTAAGATGTGTTTCAACTAAAATCCATCACAATGCAGCCCTAGCTTGTTTGTCTTTCGCATAGTGTAAGAGTAATGCAGTGCGTATCCTGATCATACAAGTTTTTACGAACTAAACGAACTGTAGGCATAAGATTGCACCTAAACTCTTATGATCTGGTACTGTCTTCGTCTTACTACCTGCGTGCACATTTACACCAAGTTAGCTACGGCGTCGTAGTGACGTTGGCCCTAACCACACAATCCTCAATGCTGAAGATGAGATAACTCGGAAAATGCATATTCAACAATCAATACGTAAGGAAATCCAACAATGGTGAATGCGGGCATTTTCATTCAGTCGGATGGCGTGGCTCAGCGCTTCAGACGTGGTCATTCTGTATAAATTATCTTTACTCACATTAAGTATATTATTCTTTCTTTAGCCCAAATGTGTTCTTAAAAAGCGCTAGACTCTATATCGCTGACAGCTACGAAATGACGAATCAGTACAGATAATGATATTAATTCTAAAGTAGATCTCACAGATTAGGTAGTCACATCATGAAAACTCTACAGTTTAAGGATTAGGTCATTACAGTAGTACTAATGACGAACCTACACCGTATTTCTGGAGAGTTTCACTCATGTCTCGTTCCGTCCTTGAACAATCGCATGCCTATTTCTGGACCAGCATAGTTTGTTTATCTCAGATCGATAGAGTGATTATTAATGAGATTCCATATTTCGGAAGCATGACGCCGTATTACCAGGCCCTACTTCAACTCATGCTTCGTGTATGTTGGGAAGTATTTTCACCGTCTTGCCCACTAGTTGATATTGATATGTTGCCTTGTATGATGGTGTAAGTTTGCAGGAGTACCTTGTGACAGACATAGTCTCACAGTTGTTAGTAGCTTAAACAACAGGACAGCACAAAGTGAACACGTTCGTTATAGTAATCATGCTTGCTGCCGTTATCGCGGAATGAAACATACAGATTCATGAAGCAGTTTGTGAATCTGGAAACCAAGTCTTAATGAACTGTTCTGTAAAGGCGAATCAAACGTTAGCTATAAGACCTAAGTATTTTATCATTGTTAATTTAATTTTCAGCAAGGACACTTTCGAATAAACATTTTTCTTTTAACGTTACAGTGTGTTCAAAGTAGCCGTCTCGCACTTAAGAATGGTGGGTAACAGAGACTTCCGCTTCCAGAGGACTAAATTCTGAGAACTATCTAAGACCTGAAATTCAAAATTCCAGTCGTTCCTAAACTACCTTCCAAAAGGTAGGTAATACGAAGCTTAGGATCTCATACAAGCCCAATAGTCTCATTGGTCTGGTTTCGTCCTGTACGTTTATTTATTCATTTGATGAAATTTACTTTGGACAGTTCCCGGTGAAGACACATTTGCACCAATAAATACACTCAGGTTATAGGTGTAGTAGAACATAAATAATCAGGCATCGCGTTACTAATTATGTAATAGGATAAAAGTAGTTCTAGACTGGTTCAACTATTATATTTCCATTATATTTAATCAATGATGCGTGTCTGCAGTGGTATTGGTCCTAACCACACAATCCTCAAAAATGAGATGAGATAACTCGGAAAATGCATATTCAACGATTGATACGATGAGAATGTCAACAATGAGGGGGGCGAGAAGAATTATTCAAATCAATCGAATGGTGTGGCTCAGCCTTGCAGACGTGGTCACTGCATAACTTTTTTCACATTAAATATATTACTCTATCTTTAATGTCATTCAGAAGCAATAGACTTCATATAAGATGAGTCAGAATAGAAATAGCGTAACTTCAACGTAAGATCTTATAGATTGTGCAGCCACGTCGAGCCAACTTTACAATTTTAGGTTATAGGTCTATTATTATAATAGTACTAATAACAAAGTAAGCTGTAATTCTGCATGTCTTTACGATAGCAAAAACATTGAAAAAACAATGACTAAGAACAAATTCGTTCAAAAGCCACTGCTACTGCCGAGCGACTCGATAAATGTGGTTGGACATTGCTCAAACACGAAGAGATACGCCCACTTTTAGATACAGGATGAAATATTGAGTAGTTTATGCCGGTTTGTTCCAGGGATATTTTTTTGGCCCAACAATACTCCCGCACCAGACTCAACGACGGTTTGAACAGATAATCTTGCGTCGAAGGTTGTCAAAAATGGCGAGACTCCTCTGGGTGTTGCCAAGCTGTAAGGCAAATGTGAAGAAGGCGGCAGAACCAAATCAGTAAATAGCCAGTAGTAATAAATCTGAGAATACTAAAATTGTCAATGTGCTTAAAAATATGACTTACAGATTGACTGAATGTCAAGCAATTAAAAATGACAATAATAAGAATACTATAACATTTTAGGACTTCACCGAGCAAAATTGGAAAAATTTTTGTTGAAAAGTGGTTGAGTTCCGCAGATAAGCAACATTCAGTTTGTCGCAAGAGTAATGATACTGCAATCGCAGTATGATAGGCGTATTATCAATTGATGTCAATGTTTGTACTGTCATTGACTTAAAGTATAGAGTCGATCTTTGTATTTGATGGTTTACTGTTCACGATTGTCGAATTCTATTTATATCTATACTTGGCAGGCTAACTGGATGTACATGTTTATAATCGTGAAAAAGTTCATGATTCCTACGTACGAAGTTAATGATCATTTTGTAGCCAGTGATTGTAAAACTAATGATTGCTGGTTCGTGGATGCGCACTGCTGAGGAGTCCCATATTAGGACGAAACGGCCGTCCAGTGCTTCCATGTTTTCTATGGTGGTCTAGCTTCCATTGGCTCATGATTTCAACTTGTGAAATTATGTGTATGAATTGCTATGAGTTGGCTGGGTGCCCGTATGATTCAGTGGTTTTCAGGCGTCCTCGTAATTATGTAGTCTACTAATGCGACAAAATCAAAACATCTTTCGATAGAACATTCATTGACTTTTCTTCGCTTTGAAGACCACACTTTGGCCTGATTGTTGCTTCATAATTTCACTTTGTAAACCAAGTACTCGCTAAAACCCCATTGCTTTTGCTGAAATCTTCATCTGGTCCATAGAATAACGTAACATCAAATAGAATGCCATAGAATTGATAGGAAGAACTACTGGTGAGAAGTTAATGGCTATTAGGTGATCCATGATGACGAGTAGTTCCGTGTTGGCCAACCTATTCCTTTTGCAATGAAGAAATTTCCGTGGAACTAAAAATATGAGTCATTCCTATATGAAACACGAAAACGGTGATTGTATGTTTATCGCTTGCTGTGAAAGACGTTTGGAAGTAGATATAAGCACTCATGCATGCAACTGTAGAATGTTTGTGACGTGTAACTATCACTGGCATCACATTCTTCTGACATACATTGGAAGACAAGCTCAAACAGGTAAGGTAAATCAACTCTGAAGTGTTAACCACATAGTAAGTCATATTCTTTGGCAATGAACTCGACAGAAGACAAATGACACAAAAAACCTTCCATTATAACACTAAAATTTTGTTTCAAAAATGACGCGAACAGTATTTAAAAATCGCAAAGGGCCGATTATAAATAAGTACAGTGGTAGGTTTGCGGTGAAATACAGAAGAAATTTCGAAAGTTATTGTTTAAATGTCACTAATAACTATGTGAGACTCCAGCTTTTCGGAAGCTTACTCTGCTTTGTTTTTTGCTTTACGATGTAGATCAGGATTTGGAATATAACATAACAAGAGAATCGTTTACTGGTTAAAGTCTTTTGTGGTTGTGTTATAGAGTTAACTATGTATAAAACCTGTAAAAGTATTTTTCAACGTCAATCGTTAATCTTGCTTCACCAGTTGCAATGATGCACCACAAATGTAATTCCTTCATTTATCGTAGTTTTAAAGGGAGGTATAAAGATAATGTCTACAAGTAACTGATTGAGACATTTGGAAAAATTTAAGCATTCGCTTTATGAAAAACTGTTTCGTTGTGTGCATCTGTAACTACCCAAAGTGATCGCATCACATGGTATGTATTTACTCTGACTTACTGGTACATTATATCCCCAGAGGTTCGTAGTAATACAAAAGTAAATAATTATCAATAACATGAGACGATAATTGGGCAGCGAATGTATATTGTAAGGCATGATAAACAAAAGTGCCAAATGTTACACCAGAGCTGAAACGTAATGTGTTGTTTGCTTGTACTCAGCTTTTCCGAAAACTTGAAACATTGCATATGACTGTTATATTTGTACATAAATAATTCGTTAAATAAATTAACGGG